TCACTTGCAGCGCTCCCATTGCTTCATCGCACTGCTCCGGTTGATCGACATGGTTGAGGGCGGATCCCCTAGGAGCGCGGGGGCAGGGAGGGGGGGGGGGGGCGGCCGGCATAGCCTTAGCACGTACGCGCATGTCTTATAGTTACTTCGGTGCAGCGAGTTGAGGTCTGAGGTGGCAAAAATGGAAACGCTTTGTCACATCAATCTGCATGCTACTTGAATGTGTGAATATGTGTGAATGCTCCACATGATCAGACGAAGACCGCTTACGACCAACGACATCAGGGGGACCGATCACGAAGAGATCACCAGGAGACCAAGAGACCACCTGGGGACCACCAAGACGGCAGGAGACCACCAAGACACCAGCAGGACGACACACTAGGGGACAACAGTCTATGCCTCCCGCCAATGCTGGCGTATCGGGCACCACTTCCCAAATGCTTTCCCCTAAGTATTGGCGGGATTCAGAAGCACAGGCAAGAAAAGAGAGTACGACGAAATCGCTTTGTTTCCCCCAAGCACTGTCGCGGAGGATTAACAAGTAACAGGACGTCAGCGGAAACTATGCACTGCACCACAGCAGCAGCCCCGCGTGGGGACCGCATCAATTCCCTTCACACTGAACGCAAGAATTCAATACAAAGTGTTAACACACCGTTGGGGAGCTTTGCTTTCGAAAACCTGGAATCGCCGCCGTCCTTAGGGGAGAGCATCCAGGTTATCCGCTGGTTGTCATAGTCGTCATGGTCGCATAGTTTTTTAATTACAAGCCACTTGAAGTGTTCCTTCTGCTAGACTGCTAGACAGGTTCTACCCTGAAACCACTGATGCCTCACACTAGATGAATAAATATAACTACTTTGAACTGCGACGCCGACATCGATTTCCCGAGCTCACTGATGAAACCTATACAACAGGCGTGTGTGTGTGTGTATACATATATATATATATATATGTATCTATCTATCGCTCTATATATGTATATCGAGATTATATGTATATGTGCACATGTATGCGTGCATGTTCGCTTGGTTTCTGGTTGAGCATTTGCTCCGCTCAGATGATATTTAGCCATGCATAGATGCAGCAGTGAGGTCACTGCTCTACTGGCTCAGCGCGTGCTTTTGCCGACTCCATGCCGACCACCGCAACTTGGACTGTGAGACTTCCTCCGTTTGTGGGTGTATGCATGCATTGTAGCGGGGCACTGATGGAGCCATTGGACAGTCGAAGTTTTTGGTACACGACTTGAAATCGCTGCCTGCGCAAGCTGCCAGCCCGCCAGTCACATGAGTAGAATTTCTTGTGTTTCCTCCAGTGAGCCAGGCGGGGACCGTGGATTATGCAACAGGCATCCAGCTGTCGCTTGAACGGTTTTGCAGTCTTGCATCAAGTGCTTTCAAGGGATTTCACGCGTGGATCGTGCCTTGCGGATCCTTGAGACTCTTCAGTGTCATGTTTTTTCAGTAGCTACATGCATTGGCGCCCCATGCCAGCTGACATGCTGAAGCATGATCCCACGAGCAGGAAAGCATGGCCGGCTCTCTGACCTGGTCATCGAAGATGCCGAGTCGGATGTGCAGCACAGCCGGCACGTTTGAGAGAAACTTCGTGTTTCGATTGCCAGCATTGCCAGAATGTAGGGAGTGGATGGGGTTGCCGAGTCGCCGCCTGGAGGTTATCCTCAGAAGGAGGCATGCTTGGCGAACCCTGCAAGGCGCGTCTTTGGCAATCTCTGAATTCCACGGCCCCCACCTACCCTGCAACAGCCACTTCTGAGACGCTGAGCTCTTGCTGCAGACGTGGAACCCAGCCCTAGGTGCAGACCAGCCATGCAACTTTCAACCCGAAGGAGGAGCTCTTGGCCAAGATTGCATCAGCCTTACAGAGTGGGATCGGTGGCTTGGGGTGAGCGAGGCAATGCACTGCCCCGTGTGTCTCAGCCTTCGTGTTTTTCCATCGCAAAGGCAAAGCCACTATAAGGGGGGTGGCAGCTGAGACACCGCGCTGCACTATGAACCCAGGCATCGACCGACTCTCCAGAGGAGATTCGGAATTTCATGCGAAGCTTCCTGTTGAGCCACTCGTCAGCAGGGACACACTTTGCTAAACTTTATGGTTCATCTTTTCTGATATACGATTCTAGTTCTGAGGGTTTTGTTTCTGCCAACAGTGTGCCTGAGGCCTAAGACACAGCGCCTTGACGGCAATCAGCTGGGATTCGAAAGTCGTCGAGGTCGCATTGAGTGTTTTTCGTAGCCGGAACATGCCAACCCTAACAGAAATTTGTAACAAGAACAGGTCTCCTTATCATGACGCCAACCTGGTGGTCCCCGCAACAGCGTGGGGCAACCCTTGTAACAGTTTGGCTTCAGCAGTGTCAGGGCTTCAAGTTACGCGGTTTAGCGTTTTGGGGTTTAGAGGTTTAGGGTTTGTTGGGTTTGTGTGAGAGAGAGCAGCAAAAGGGGGTTTAGGGAAAGCTGTGAGCTGTTCCGAGAGCGCTCGCTCCCGTCACATGCATCGCCTTCAGTATACGGGTTTAAGCAAGGGACTTTACCCTGGTGACAAACACAGACGCACAGATGAACGTATCCGCAAGCAGTGCAATGTTTGATGCATCACTTTGGAACCTGTGAAACGACAACAAAGGCAATCGCTACGCCTGCCTGCCTGCATGCGCCTGCATGTGAGAAACACGCATAACATTTGCTGTGTTTACCCGCTGAGTATGCATGTATCAGCACACGCAGGTGTGTGTGCGTGTACGTGTCCCAACGCATCGATATCAATGTCTGTTCCTCTCTACTTCAGGCCTGCCTGTGGCAGGGCCGGTTTTCGGGTCTCCTATAATGTGCGAGCATAAAAGCTTCCTGCCCACGCCTTGCTTGTTCCAGTGGGCGTTCGTGTTGAGCTGGTCTCCCGGTTGATACTGTGGCCGTATGTTTCCGTCACAAAGTCAATCAAGATCGGTTACCATTACTCCCCAAAGTAGTTCCTGGGCCGGGATGTCATGGCATCTCCAGGCTCTGGTCTATGACGTAGCGCAGACTTTCAAGGGCATGAGATGCGAGTTTGCCCTCGGTGCGTTCCGTGTCATTTCCAGGGGTGCTCATGAGCGCCGTCGAGCGTGACGTCGCCTCCGAGGCCTTCGCGAAAGCCTACACTGCATGAGTCGCTTCCGAGATAGTGGTAGGGCGGAGGCGGAGGTTTGTTCTTGAGTCTTTTTGTTGTTCAATTTCTGTTCGAGCTGTCAGTGGCCCCGTGTTTCTGCCTCGGTGTTTGGACAAGCAGCCTGCAAGTACCAGGATCAAACCGCAGAGCAAAATGGCATGACTGACCGAGTGTATTCCCTGCCCGGACATGATCACCAGCGAATCTGCACGCCAGGACGACGTGCAGAGCTTGAGCTCCGCAGGAAGCTTTGCTCAAGGTCTTGTGTTTATGCAATTGTCAGCATCGTTTGCGACAGGGGTTGAGGGTTGTACATAGAGTCAGAGCAGCCTGTTTGACTTTGGCGGCCCCCATGACAACGACTTTTTGAATTTGATTACAGACGTGCTTGGAGTGCTCTACAAGGGATTCTTGACTTGCGAGGAATGCAGGCGCGGTGTTGCATAAGGGGTCCTCCGAACAAGCATAGGCACTTTGCAAGAATCGGTGCCCTTGATGACTTTGGTCACCATCATCCGCATCGGCTTCAGAGACGTGAGAATCCTCCAGTATGGGGCGGATATCCTAGCTCCGTTGCCCCAGACATGCTGTCACTTAAGGCCAGAACGTCCGCAGCAACATGCCTCGCACGAGTCATGTTGCATTGTCCAAGGATGGACTTGCCACAGCATGAGCCACACAGCTGCAAGCCAGACTCGACGGATCGTGTGCGCATTTTTCCCTCTTGGCCAGACTTTGGCAGTCAGCAGTCCAGTACTGTAGTGTGCCGGTCGAGGCAGGAGCAGCTCGGAGTTCTTCCAGGAATGAGCGCTGCCCTTGCGACACATGCATGCTCCACAGATGAACTGCCTCTCCCTGTTCGCCCTGTTCTAGTCGTATTGGAACAGTTAACAGCTCTGTGAAGCGAGTTGAGTTTCAGAGCGTAGAGGCTACCGGCTACCGTATAGTCATGGCCGCGGAGAGCGTGGCCTCCTTCACAATATTACCAGTTGGCTTTCCGCGAGATCCTTCGCTCGCGGAGTAGCAGAGCCCTTCCGACATGTAGCTGCGAAGTTAGCGTGTCCATCGAAATCAGAAGAGACCATGCTTACCTTCCTGAATTAAATGGATATTTCCCGGGGCGCGGGGCAGATTTGCAAGTTGGCTTTTCAAATTTGGCAGACGATGTCGTCTTGGCAGCTTTTGGGGGACCGCAAAGGGATCGACATGAAGCAATGTCCGAAATGTGCACCTGGATCAACTGGGGGTCTCTAATCGGGCTTTGCATGGCGTTTCTCCAGCAGTGGTACAATGCCTTTTGCTGCTGACGCCCAAGTGCTGCAGGGCTGTGCATGCATGGTGCTAAAGGCCATGTGCACGCCAAATGTACTTTCAATATTGATTATCAAGAACCCGGCCAGACTCCTTTTGGTGCCAGAGTCCTCTGGGCGAGCTGATTCCAGAGCAGATCTGTGGGCCGCCAGTCATCCCGGATTGAACCTGTGCAGAACGCATCCGTGTACAGGGACTTCCGGCTGCTACTCCCTCGGATTCTGTGCTTCTTTTAATTGCAGGCAAGAGTTCGGCATCGAAGTCTACCGCGAATGCGAGTGACATCTCACCTTACGTCTGCGTGCATCTGCAGAGAGCCCGGGAGCTCAATGGCGCTTCGCGCCATTCCAAGTGCTTCACCGTGGAATTCGAACTCTGTTTGGGAATGTGGCAAATGCGAAGTCTTGCCTCCGCTTTGCTTCTGCAGACCAGCCACCTAGACACAAGCACGGAGGGAGGCAGAGTCTTGATCCGCTTGAACATCGAACAGACTCAGTCTTGTGCTTTGAGCTCAGGCCGGGACTTTCCTGGAAGGCCAAAGCTCCGCCAAAGTGCTCAGCACATGGATGAAAGTCAATGAGTTGGCTCCCAACGTCATAATTTCACGGACAAAAACACCGAACAACAACAAGTTGCGTGTTGACCCGTCAATGCGTGACATGGCACATATTCATTTGCCGGTCGTCTCTGCAGAGCTTGACGGGTACCAAGTTTGCAGACAGAGGCCACCGATGCCCAAAGTGCCAGCTTTTTTGGCGAAGGACCGCTGACGGACCTGAGGAAGTTTTTGCGTGATGTCAGAATCGCGCAGAACACACGACTGAGTTTGGTGCACCCGCGGAGAGGCGAAGTCTTGACTTTGACTGAAGGAGGGGGAAGAGGCGCCAGCGCATACCGCTTCCCTGGGCCCTGCAGCAGCCAAGAGCCTTAGCCGCCTAAGCTCACGGTCAAGAATCAAGACAGGTCAAGACTAAGGGTGCTGTGCTTTGCTACCACTGGCTTTGCTGAGGATCCCTGCTGGACCAGAGCCTGCCGCGGCCGAGCCCCAGCAGGTGGAGCCTACTGTGGCACCCGCCGCTGTCGCCACGCAGGAGTCCAAGAGGCCCAAGGTCGCCGCACAGCTCCGAACATTGCCAGACGAGTTTGTGCATCACTTCATTTGCGTTTGGCCGGAGATGCCACGAGTGTAAGTTCAGCTGCCGCCCGTATCCGTGTAGTATAGCAGATGATGCGGCTGACGAACCGAAATTCTCAGTTTTGAGTTTGGGGTCGTGAAGTCCTTGACTTGAACGTGCCAGATACGTCGGCAGTCATGCAGTCAGTCGTTCACATCTTTGCGGCGGAGGGTCGGGCATGTTTGAAGCTGAGGTCTTACTGGACCGAGGTCCGCACGGACGAAGGCCGGCGAAGTGAGTTTTGAGAGCCTGGTCAAGAGCTGCCGAAGTCGCGGGCAAAACTCGTCTGAAGGACGGTCGCAAACTGTGGAGTCGCCCGCAGCCTACGCTAGGCGATGTGTACTACCACAACGAGGATACAGATGAGACTGCCTGGGAGCTGCCTCCCGGTGGTGTTGCAGCAGCCTCGGTTCCGGCTGCTTCGCCACCTCCCTTCCTCTGCTTTGAAGATTTTGAAGGTTCGGAAGCCTGGGGAGGAGGCTCCAGAGCCGGCACAGACCGTGCCTTCACAGACACCTTCGCAGCCGGCCGAACCAGAGCCACAGGCAGGATTTAGCCAATCTAGCCTTCGGCAGAGTCGTTTTGCCATTATTTGCTTATTTTTGGATGGCTGCGCAAAGCTGTTGCATGCCGCATGTCCTCCAGGTGCAGGGGTGTGAAGTGTTTCGGTATATGGAAGCAGGTGCCCAGGTCTGGAGTCTGGAGGGAGGTCGGAACGATTTACGCAAAGACACACCTCGCTGCAGACACTTGGTATCAAGCCTTGACACGTAAATCATGCATGAATGTTGGCCTCATGGTGTGCAGCCTCCAGTGTGTCGATCGTCGAAAGCAGTGTGAGGCATGAGCTGTCGGGCATGAATTACAAAGACCCATCAGAAAGACTGAAGAGAGAATCCGATGTCGTCTACTCTGCTGCCCAGCGAATGTTTGCTAAAGCAACTAGGAGACATGCAAAGGCAGAAGGAGTGCGCTCTAGCAGACTTGACTTTCGTGGGTCATTGACGCCATGGATCAAGCAATGGAGCAGGAGGATCGGCTGAAGAACGACTGCCCTAACCGACCTCAAAGCATGTTCTTCAACTGTGCACTGCAACCGATTCACGCCCAGAACCAGGAGCGACCGCAGAGCTTGAAGTTCGATGTGTCGGAAGAGGAATCGGGGCCCAAAGGTGAAGAGCGACCCGGCATGAAAGCAGCTCGAAGTGTAAACAGCGGGAAGCACATGGGTGGGCAAACAATCAGAGTCTGGAGCCTGCCCACTGTTCGAAGTGCTTTGCCCCACTTCCAGCGTGTGCTGTGTTGCATGGTGCTTTGGCAGATCACATGTGCCCGAGGTTTGCCTTCCGCAGAGAGGTGGTGAAGCTGCGCTCCTTCATTGACAGCCGGTTTGCAAAGCAAGCCCGGATGTTAGAGCTCATGTCTACCCAGTTGAAGCCACCTGGCTGAAGTTATGCACATCTGCCATGGGGGATGGATGCGTTCAATTCCTCCCAAGCCTCAGTGCTGCAAAATAGACACGATCGTCGTGAGTTCGACATCATCAGACCAACCGATGCTTTCCCAGCGCGCCCCATTCGTGACACTTGACACCCAGGCTAATGCATAAATTCCCCGACGGCAAAACGGTTGTGGCAAGAGTGGATGATTCCGCGGAGGCCTGGTCTGAGGGCACGGCAGCGTTTGGATTTGCCCACATCTCGGGGCTGTGCAGGATCCCGACCAGGCGCCCAGGCAAGAGCCTTCAGAACCGCTCTCCCCCCGTGCCTTGAATGATTTGGGCTCTGCACTGCGTTGACTTGGGTCAAAAACAAAACGAATCAGTGGAGAAGGTGGGTTA